TTCATGAAACTGGACTTCTACGTGTACATCTCAAAAATTACCAAAACGATGCTATTCTTTAAAGAATTGTTGATGAATGCAACACAACCGAAATGATCATCACTTCAATTATATTAGAATAAACCGCAAAAATAATGTCTTTCTCACTAATGAAAGCATTAAAAGTGATCAGGCAAATAACCATCAAAACGCTATCATTAAAACAACAAAAGCAGACCTCTGCGCCTGTGCAACCCTCCCAAGGCATTTGTCCATAAGAGAACATCTCGAAGAGTGTCACCGCATACGACCATACATCACTGGCTGTTGTGAACTTCAAGAAATTTATCGATTCCGGTGCACACCACGCGATTGGTAATCTTAAACCATCACTAAACTCACTTCGATAATAGTCTTCGCCCATTCCCAGTGATCGACTCAAACCAAAATCCGAGATTTTAACCTTAAAATTGTTCAATGAATTAAACCTAAACGACAGATTAACGTAGCGAAATAATTGTGAAATAACAGATAAACTGATTCATTAAAATCGCTGATCTAAAATCGAACACCGAACTCGTTGAATGTGAATATGCATGACAAATCGTTGAAACATTTTCCATTTCTCGCAATCTCTATTAAAAAAACGTTCAAAAGGCGCCATAAAATAATCCAAAAATGAATCAAAAACGGAACAATCGATACCTTATCAGCCGAAAATACAAGCACATTTCTGGCCGCCAAATCGCGATGTATCAACCGTTCATTCGACAAATACTCCATACCTGCGGCTATTTGCTCAGCAAAGTCACACAAAGTATCTACGAAGAACGAATCACGCAGTGCTGGCTTCTGAAGACATTCCAGAAGTGAACCACACGGTGCCAACTCAGATACCTTAAATGAATCAAATTTCATATCACATTTCAGGGCATTTGCAATACTTCATCAAATCAAATGTTTTGGATAAGCGAACAACGATTTAAGTCTTCAAATGAAACATATCCAGATGTGCTTATGCCATCATAATCATAAAACCGAATATAGCATTAT